ATCATCTGGTTTTGCCGACCCAGTTTATGTTGCACCTGTGTCACTCTACTTCCGAAGCATTGAGTCCCAAATCCGCTGGAACTGCTGAAATCGTCTTCCATGTCATGCTCGCGTCTTAAATAAAGTGCATGCAAGTTGATGCTCTGACTTTGCTTCGGTTCAGAGTTCTGCCGTCTGGAAGCAACTCGGCTGCTGCACGTGAACGGTTTCCACCTCATTTTGACATTTGTTTTCAATTTGAAGTTGCCTGATTTTGTTGTGAGTGACAAGGATTGGATCTTCCCAGGCCTTTGATAAATCACGCAAAATACAAGTGTTTGATATTCATTTTATGGTCCAAGCAACAACAAAATATTAAGCACAATCACTGAAGATAAAAGTTGCTGTCATCTAGTCAAAAACCTCCAGCTCTTTAGGAGGAATTCCTGAAGGATTTTCAGTCGGACAGTTCCAAAAACAATATATAAATATAAATTTATATGACAGTAATTTTGCTGACATTGACAAGCAAAGTACTCGGCTTGTTAACCCAATGGCTCTGTTAGAGAATGAGTCAGCTGGTGTCTGTGGGTGAGAGTGAAATGTGGCTGATGAACGTATTCAGGGGTGCGATAAGATGCCTAGATGTGCGTTCTGAGGATGACGACTGGAGTCACTCGTCCCATACTATTGAGGTATTGGACACCTATGTACAGATGCGTGTGATTTTAACCCAATTCACTAGGCCAATATAACTGACGGACTTTCGAGCGAACCCATTTCATATGGGATCCGAAAGTCGACTAGTTTACGCATAACAAACAATGGTTTGGTTTTAGCATGTATGGTGCTTGAATCTTGTACTAAGTCACCGGAATAGGGTGTCTTTTGAGCCCACTGCCATTCACATTTTGACTCTCTAGCCTACTTAGCCGAGTGGATATTTGGCTATTTGTTCAAATCTGATTTTACTTCTGGCTTAGTTTGCGCAAGGCCTGGAGATTTCATTCCTCGTACTAATCGTCTAGTGGAAAGGGGATGTTAAATGTTAGAAACACTCAAATCCTTTTATACGTATGTGCACATAGCGCAATCAAAGGTTCATGACAATTTACGCGAAATTCTCCTATCATCCAAGGTGGACCGCCTTCTAAGATGTGAATTAAAATACTAGAAAAAGACAGAAAATATATCTTCTACGACCTCACACCAGGAAGGTAAGACCATAGCTGTACAAATTATACTTCGGGAGGCCGAGAAACTTCTCAGCGAGATATTCAAACCGAAGTAGTTAATCAAAAGAGGCTAAAGGCTTGTCTATGCTACAATTTCCGGAGTGTTGGGACAGCATGTGAATGCTGGCGTGAACGTCGTGTTACAGCCAGTTACAGCTCACGAAAATTCGTCACTGACAGCCGATCAATCTGTAAATTTCCGAAGACCAGGACTCCTTGCTTCTCTCTGTTAACGGCAGGATGTGCAACACTTGCTGTCGCCTACAACCCGAGCATGACATATGAATCAGTAAAACGGAAAAATCTTTGATCAGCTGTTTGCAATGAACCGATTAGTATCGTTTATGGAGTGGCTCTTTCTTTTGAATACTTTCAGTGCTTGTGGATAGTCGGGGATGCGGAAATGTGTACAAAATTGTTGGAACGATGACTAAAGGTAACTAATGCCGATGCGCATACCCGTATGTGTATGCCTAAAAATACACTGTTCTCTGCGAGGCTGTCAGCCCTCAGCACATGGGCTCACTTGGCCGCGGATATGTTGGAATATATCACTGAATAGTTCGGAGACCTCAGCAACGTGCTGATTAGGAAACATTTGCGGCAAAATTGCCCATGTTTGCGAACGTTACATGCACTGCAAATCAATTATTGTTCCTGACAGTACCACTTTCCCCACTTTGTTTCAGTGCTAGATAACTTGGTATGTTCTTGTGGTGTTCGACCGTATCTCCGGGATACAGACGAAATAAGCTTCAGGTCGAAACCCAGTATCCATCGCCTGACTTCGATACAAGTTGATATAACTCCGACGATGAACAAAATGAAACCTCCATTGTGTGTTTAATATCGTGATCGAGATATATGAGGTCACCTTTTGTCAACCAACATGGAATTTTGCACTAATTTGGTGAAAATAAGACAGTTGTTATCCTTCGTGACGACGATCACATGACTGAGCACTTATTTGTGGCATGGGTGTCACGCGATCACGATATTCAGTCACCACATATGTGAAGGCTGCTGCACCAGACTGTAGTGGATAAGATTAGAAATACAGTGTTTTGTAGAGTGATGTAGAGAGAGGTATGTATACTGGTCTAAGTTTTGATTGTACTGGCTTTCAAATGCTGTGGATGTTGATCATAGTTGTACATTAGCCAATCAGGAAACTGCATAACTCCTTATTTCCTTAAAAGTACGGACGCAGTTGCGATCTACTTTTTCGGCTCACCTACTGTGTACTAGCTAAGAAGCTGTACAGTAGTTCGGTCCGAGAGGCATAAATATCGTGTAATCAGCTGACACTGACATTCCACACCATGTGTCTAGGTTGAATAAGAAAGGCCAACTGTTGTTCATTAGCGACCTGCGTGAAAATAAAAATCCTGTTTGGAATTTCAAGGTGATAGTCGGACACATGCTACTTTTCGACACCGCATGGAGACGTGATCAGTACTACGCCATGTGGTCTGAAGTTTTGCTGCTGAACAAAGTGACCCCACATTCTTTTTGAAGAACAATTTGTTCATCTTTGACCGCTTATGCATCGCTTGTTAGTGGCATTACTATTGTTTCTATTTGAGGATGGATGTTGGTAGCAATTCTATCTACGTATTTGCACTGTTTTCCTCGAAACATGTGCTAAGCAAAGCTATCATTTATAGCTTGTAAAGTAACGCCAAAGATGAGTTCAGTCGGCTTCGATTTTGTTTGACGCTTTGGTCATGTTTATGTGCAGCAGTGGTTTTCCGTAAATTAACATAAGTACGCTAATTCCGTTTCTTTTTAATCCTCGCTAACTGAGTGAGTAAATGCACACGCCACTTTTGTGGCTAACCTGAAAATATGCGAATGGTACTGACTCAGAGGATACCCAGTCAGCAATACGAATCAGCTTAGATTTCAGCTTGCGCCATGCAAGTTGAACAAAATACATGCACGGGTGAAAAAAGCGGCTGGCAACGGAAGAAAGGAAATACTATCAGTAGAGAAGGGTCAGCTTCGTTCGTGTGATATCTATGGTCCGAGTGCTTTGCGCACTTGTTGGTATCTTTCCAACAGGAGTTATTTTTGTGCGGGCAAATCGTTCTTTGAGCGAAGCTACATGCCGCCGAAAAAGGATATTTTGGTGGCAAAATGATCCCACCTAAGTACTAGTTGCTGTAGAGTTAATCGATCCAGTGTATCGCATGAGTTTCAGTTACCAAGTGGATTTATTGAGGTCTGTTTGGATGTTACTGGCCCTTGAAGCTCAAATTGCTACACGTTTCAGATCAGGCTGTCGTAGGCGTAGAATGTGTCTTTTATCAGTAGCTGATTGGGTGGCTGCTGATATGTGAACTGAGATTCGTAACATACTTTCAAACGTTTCGTCACATTTTGAGTATGTGCCGTTACTGCGTGGTGGGGATGGGTTATCGTTCTTCTCATAATGCCTCCTTTTAAATGTTTTAGAATCTGGAATTACCAACTTTTCTCCGGAAGCCAAATAATTTAACTGAAATCTGGATATCCTTTTGATAAACCTGGTGTGTGGTTGTTTGGCCTGATAGATACCATTGTTTTGGTTCTGATTTATGTTGTATGAAACATCGCAGCGCTTTTCTGAAAATATTGGCAATGTTAAAACTGAAGAATGGGAATATGATGGAAGATTAGTAACTTTTTGGTTCATGTACAGGACCAAGTCAGGTTGTGCAACTTTTGGTGACGTTATACAAATACACAGCGCAAAGAAACATTAGCAGAGTCACAGCTTTGTCCTCCATATTTCGAGGGGAGGTAAACGGGCATTGAAGAGTTCTGCCAAAGTTCATCGGGTTGTAATTACAGCATTGCCTACCTAGAACACCAGTAATGAGAAGCGACTTTGGCAGCGGTTTGCGTTGTCAAGATAATCGTCCTCGCAGTTAGGAGCAAGTTGGAATGAACGCTCATAAGGAAAGCGTATACATATATCATGAACTTGTACTCACAAATTAATCTGGTTCTCAGAAACTGAAAGTATTCCTAATGTGGTGGTTTGATCTCGGTTTAATTTCGTTAACTGCCTTCTCTAACTCCTAGCAGATTTTTTCACTCATTCTGTGCCGTAAGTTTGGCATAGATGCGTTTGGCTCCAGTCACGCAAGCTATTGGGTTCTATGAACTCCCGAGACCCCATTTAACGGACAAACGCAATGTCCGTAGGCATGTGAACAGAAAAAAGTTTTGGTCAGCGTGATTTAAACTCACTCTTTAGAAGAGCAGTCTTTCTTGATATTTGGAAAGCAGTCAATTTTGTTGAGGAAAAACAGTCGGAAAAAATGAAACTACTGGCAATCACTTGTTAAATTCTTTGCACCTGCGTCTGGGAAATTTCATGACTTTAGCTTTTGCGGTAGAATGCTGCACCGTATATTCAAGTCAGCTGAAATGTTTACTCTCTCAAGGTCGAGATTTTGAAGATTGTGCGTAAATAGTCGGATAAGAGTTGCTTTGTCGCAGACATTGTGCAATTAAAGAACGGTCTATTTACTTCACAAAAGATCGATGCTTCCAAACAGTTGATGCCAGTATCTATAAATACAGGCGTTGCTAATCGATGTATCTCCAAATATGTCGCAGGTGAGAGTAGATGGCAGCGACAGTAATGAAGATCTGATCTTTCTTGAAGGTTACTCGCACGACCATTTTCAGTCTAACGTCAGCGCCCTTCTATTGTGAAAGAATTTTCTTGTGAATCAGGATTCCTATCCTGATAAAGTAGGTGAAAAAACGTAAAAACCACTATGATGAATGGAAAGTAAATCAATTAATCGCCTTATATTTGAAGCATAATTGAAATAAGAGGGAGGTGGTCAATATGGTACAAACTTGATTCCACAATGGAGTACCACAGTAGGTTAGAATTTTATATAATTGATCTGCCGTAGAGAGTTGTCCTGAGAAGTTGCATTGAAATCATGCCGTTTTGAACAGCAAAATGGCCAAATTTCCGACGTAAAAGTATATGAAGTAATTATTTTCGTGCGTCACGTAGCTGAGAAACAAAAACAAAGTAGAACGAAGGTAATGAAAATATGAGCACTTGGCTTGCAGTTCACTCGCGGACCAATGCATACCAGTGGCCAAGCGGAGCAAACAGATCCGTAGACGTCTGATTAACGAAAAAAATGAATATTCTACGTGTCACATTAGACTTTTCATCTATCTGCATCTTGTCAGGTCTCTGCAGCCTAGTAGACGACCATGTCTCGGAGATTACTTCAGTGTTTAACGCAGAAAAGTACGGACTTTTTGTGGGTAAATATTTTGAATGAATACGGCAAGATCTCAGGTTTATGTCGCTGAAAACTCCAACCACTCTAGGGGCATGCTTTTTTTTACTCCGTTACTCACGAGCCCACTTAGTTCCTCAAGTATGAGGACCAAAAACAAATTTGCATTCTAGTGTTTAGAGGCAAGTGAATCGTCTGTTCTACAGCTCGTTTGATGAGGTTTTTAGCAGTTGGAAATTGGTCTCCTAAAATTCATCAGTTTCCAAACATAAATCCAAGCATCGCGGGGAAGTAGCCTTGCTAGCGGGACATTGATTTTTCAACCCAAGTTTCGTCAGCTGACCACTGAAAATGAGCTACAGGTGTACCATTAGATAAGTAGTTCTTGTTGCGTGTACGACTTTGAAGAGTTTGTGTGGAGATCTTTCAATCTAAGGTGACTCAAGTTCACTATCGTTAAAAACACCTGAATAAAGTTGTACAGCTCTGTTTCCGGACACGGTAAATTTATTGTTCTAGGATATTTGCACTTTGACCACATGCGAAAACTGAAAGTGGATGTAGTTTACGTGTTTTTCTGAAGCGTTATTTTTGTGAATTCACTTTATGTGGTCCGAAAGCGAGCCCCAGGTTTATTTTCGTTTCATCAAGAATCATTTGGTCACAAGAGCCTCATTCATCCTGTCCCGGAAATTTGTTTATATATGCGCATTCTATAGAAGCACTTAGCAGGACTGGCAATTTGGATATTTTCGCTGGTCGTTTGAATGAGTGTGTGGTAGGTTGACGCTGTCTTGCCTTGTTAACGTTTTCCTCTCATTTCTCTGTTATGCCATTGTAAAAAGAACGCCAACACTTTAGTCTACTCAAAGCTTATTAAGTGTTAATGGGTGCTTTGGTTTAATGATATTTGGCACACCGCGGCAAAACTGTTCGGAAGCATTTTTCAACAGTGGGCTGTAACCTAAGCCTTGCGATTCTCTTTTGCACAAACTTATATGAGTTTTTTCCCTGTATACATTTTTGTAGAACGTTTCACATGGATTTTAAGTAGCTCAAACCATATTTCTCTTCTTTTTACGTTTCCAGTCACTTCTTTGTACTCTGATTACATCTTTAAACATTTTTCCGTAAGATGATTTACATTGCGCTTTGACCCCAAATCGTGCAAAAAGCAATTTTGTTTTCGTTTGCAGAATCAGAAATATAAAACGCAAAAACCATAAAAATGCAACAAAACGGAGTTAACATTCAGAATATCTAGGACAATTATTAGCCTTTCTATCTCCCACTACAAATCTCTTGTGCTTAAAACGATGACTTCCGTGGGAAAATGTACACTCATTACGTACTGCTGTTGCCAGGATTCTGCTCCTCTGTTCAGACTTTGTGATGATACAGTCTGGGTAAAAAAGCAATAGGCAATTTTCGTTGCTCCCAGTGAACAGGACAAGACTAAAGGATCTCGAAATATCTGCCACCGATAAGGAAAACAAATACACAGCAATGAAAACGGATCAACATTTGATAAGACAGTATAGAGTTTGTATTCCCACCATCCGACTAGTTTACAGCTCTAATTAGAACACATTTTGAGACTGCGGCTGCTTTTTTGTGTTGCTTACAACAAATGCCGCATTATTGTACGGAATCTGTTGAAGCGGGAGTAATATAAGTACACATCCTACAATTACCGCGTCGCTGGTATGAATCGGAAACCTGTTTACTCCAACATTCTACACCTGTATTTTCCGTAAATAATGTAGCATTTAGGTAAGGGCCAGTTTATCACTCAAAAAAGAAGCTTAGGAAAAACGCGATGAAATAAATTATAACACCACTTTATTTGAATATCCATGTTTAATGCTGACCGTGCACTGAGTCACACATTTCCTACACTCACTCACTTCGGGACATTCACTGTAGGGCTCCAAGCCTAGTTGCCACAAATTTGCCGGTGGCGAATTGCTGCACTAATAAAAACACCAAGATGAGAACACTGAACGATTCCGTTGACGTATACCGGATATAAGAGGAGACAGTTAAGTTAGAAGTGGTTCTTGGTTGGTCAGTTGTCTGCCTTTAACTGACGCTTAAACGTTGGCTTCTGCAGAGATGCATTTTGACTCCATGAAGGAAATGATTCGGCAAAATTATGTAAAATATGGCTTTGTCTTTAATTACGCTAACAGAATACTACTGTTTCTGGAGCCTTTCTCAAGAGAAAGCCTACAGGCTATGACAAAACACCACAAAATGAGCTTGTCTGAGCTCTTTTCGAAAACGACAGTCATCATTTATTTCACCTTTTTAATGATATTCCTGAACCTCATTGGGTAATGCTTGTCTCATGCTTAGTTTGGCATGATGTTTAATTCATATGCTTCGTTCACATGGCTTAACACCCATGTGATAAGAGAGAGATAAAGATGGGTTCCTCGTTAAGGCTGAGGTTATTTGTGCATGTGCGCATTTCATGAATGGAGTTTGAATATCACAAGTCCTTAACTGGTTAGACGGAAGCAACACAAAACCGGTGGTGCGTTTCCAGAGAATTTTCATCGTGAGTAATGTGTTTTGTATAAACCCTGTTCTTATCTCAGCAGGAGGTAACTGTGGAATGGACCTACATGTCAGCAAATTAGCTGATAACGCAAACAGCTGTTTATCTGCAGGTGTTTTTCCCGACGCTGCTGTATGATTCTAGCCATTCATAGGACATACATAGCGACTTATTTATGTCTCTATGTTCTTAAATAGCCGGTCCACACTCCGGGTAATTGAAACCAAGGCCTTGATAACTTGGTTGCTATGTGGTGTCTGAGTCCGCAGACATTCAATTTCAATGTGAAGGATAGCCGCAGTTGATATTCATGACCGTCGGGTGTTATATCCAGAGGGAGGCCGATGAATCATCGCTTACCTCGTTTCTGGAATTATTTCACACAGGTTTGTTTCAATAGGAAAGTACTGTTTGACTAGTGTTTGTACTAACAGTGGTCTCGAACTGGAGGGTGTCATGCTTGCATTGCGTACAGCTTCGTTATGTGTTTTCGTTCATATTGGATGAATCTGCTTTTAAGCTTGTTCCACACCGTGCAGCCGGTACAGTAGAATCACAGTGGGCCATTTCACACCTGCAAGTTTTACCCCTTCAGCTATCGAGAAAGACGCACATAAGTGCTAGATGAATGGATCACTGTATTTTATTTTTTTCATATTTTGGAAAAAATAACGCAGAGGATAGAGTGTCGAAGCCGACAGAATATTGCTAAATACTCCGAAAGTGGTGTCACCTAATATAAAGCTTCTGGAATTTGTGCCCGACAATTTCTGGGAGTCGCATACGAATGCTTACTGGGTAACAATGTCTGCCTACGTTATTTACTTTGTAATCGTCTTTACCAAACAACACCAGAAGAATTAACAGAATAATACATATTTTGCGGATATAATTTTCCAGTTGGTTGGCAGTAAATCTCGCGCACTTACGAACGCCCGTCCTTGTGTGCTTTGTTTATCACATGATGCTCTTTTCGTGTGACATCTATCGTCGCCGCCCCGACAGCCAACACATGTCAATATCGCGTGACAAAACGATTTAAGTTATTTCCACCAACCTAACGTTATCCCACAAACTTACAAGTCCCAAACACTCCGAGATTCTTCCTTATCAAAAGGTGAAACCTGGTTTTAAGAAGTTTGACGTGTGCATCACATTTTTAACTTAATTTTTAGCGGACGCTAGTTAGGTAAATGCTCTGCATTTTGTCCTCAATTGTATCAGTGAGGGATATGAAAGGAGTCTGGCAATAATTTCAAAATAATTTGCGCACTTCTCGCTCAACGGAGTTAAATTGGGCACAAAACGAGATATACACCATTGGCAACTGCAACACGTAACCACGTAACCGAAAACTGAGTGCGTCCTGATATTGAAAATGCTGATGGCATGAACAAGATTACGCAGCATGATCACCAACCTAACGTTATCCCACAAACTTACAAGTCCCAAACACTCCGAGATTCTTCCTTATCAAAAGGTGAAACCTGGTTTTAAGAAGTTTGACGTGTGCATCACATTTTTAACTTAATTTTTAGCGGACGCTAGTTAGGTAAATGCACTGCATTTTGTCCTCAATTGTATCAGTGAGGGATATGAAAGGAGTCTGGCAATAATTTCAAAATAATTTGCGCACTTCTCGCTCAACGGAGTTAAATTGGGCACAAAACGAGATATACACCATTGGCAACTGCAACACGTAACCACGTAACCGAAAACTGAGTGGGTCCTGATATTGAAAATGCTGATGGCATGAACAAGATTACGCAGCATGATGAGCCAAACAAGACACACGATCATCTGTCTCTACCTAAGCAATGTTCGCCCAACGCTCATCATTTTGCTGTTCACCATGGTAGATGATGCGAACAATAGCACAGAATGGCCAAACGTGTTGATGTTCCCTGTAGGGAGCAGTATTTGGACGTGAACGTTCACTTGCAACCATCCGATTGAGACCACTTTTCCATGCCTGCAGATGTGGCGTTACATTTGGACTACCCTATCTATATGACTGTGTGGATTTTTGATGGCTAGAGTCAAAATGCAACAAGTAACTCCTGTACTGCAAACCAATCCATTCCCGATACTCGTGCGTAATAACTGACACACAGGGTAGATACGGTTCCAAAAGGTGTTACTTGACGAACCGAGCCAGCAATTGGATAGGTGAAACCTGCGTCCAACTCTAGGGATCCA